TAAAGATGCGCTAAGACTTGCAAAAAGCAGATCACCCACGACCAGCCGATCATCCCTTGCTGGCTCTGCGATAACGTAGTGAACGCAAAATGTATTGGGTTTTCAGGACTCGTGGGTGACGCAATTTCAAAGCGTAATGGTCTGCATTACAGTTTCGAGGCATGTCGGTCTGTCGAGAATGACATGGTCACGTTTATGAGGCAGACGCGAAAGGGCTTTAAGGAGCTGACCGTGGGCCTTAAAAAGCAGTACGATCGGCTTCTAGCCATGGAGTCTCAATTCAACAGTTTTAAAGTGCTGAATGAGTCTCCTAGGCGCAAAAAACTCACTCCTCGTGATCTGCAAGTGCCTGTCCCTCGACCGCTCGCTGCTGATCAACTGTCTCCGTCCACTCCGATAGTGCAGCAGCTAATTTCGTTCGCTACTCCAAGGGCAACGACAACTGCTGGTGATCAAGTTTCGGCTACCGAATCGATCATCTCGGAGAACGTGCAGGGGGTTAGTACTGTAGCGTCTATTTCGATCCCACCAGTTAATAAACGTTAATAAAATAATAGCCTATCAAAATGCTTGCGGCTTACGTAGTAAGCTGAGCACTCTTTTTATGGATAGTTTCACATTTTCATCCCATGTTATTGTGTTTACCGAAACCTGGTTAAAGCCGGACATTCTTAGTTCCGAAGTTTTGGCAGATCGGTACACCATTTATAGGAATGATCGTTCGTCGCGACGTGGAGGAGGGGTTCTGATTGCAGTAAACTCTTACTTTACGTCGAAACTTTTCATAGTCCAGGTCTCACAAGGCCTGGAACTCCTCTGTGTTAGGCTGATTCTTCCCGGTCAGTCTATTTATGTCACTTGCTCGTATATTCCACCGACTTCGGATGTACTAATATACGAGCAGCATTTGTTTGCCTTAAAAACTGTTTCTTCCTCGCTATCTGATAAAGACTATTTAATAGTTCTTGGGGATTTCAACCTGCCAGGTACTGTCTGGTCTTCGGTTGACGAGTCAAACAACCTTGTGCCCATGTCACGACATGAGTTTATTGATGGCTTATTAGAACTGTCCCTGTCTCAAGTCAACCATGTAAAAAACTCCTTGGGTCGATTGCTTGATCTGTGCTTTGTCTCGGATCCGACCGTAGCGTTGTTAACACGAGCACTCCCGCTCACTATACCTGAAGACTGCTATCATCCTACTTTCGAAACCTCCTTGGTTCACCAAAGAGTTATCCAGTCTGAAGAACCTAAAGTCAAGACTATTTAAAAAATCTCAAGAAGTTGGTTCTCCATCTTCTCTTTCTAATTACTTAATAGCTCGGTCAAATTTCACTGTTCTTAATGCTCAATGCTATATAAACTACCTCCTTCGATGCAGAATACGTTTTTTCACAGGACCCTAAACAGTTTCACAGCTTTGTAAACAGTAAGCGTAGAACGACCGCACATCCATCCTCGCTATCATTTTTGAATATGTCGGCAAACAATGATCAGGCAATCGCCGATCTTTTTGCACAATTTTTTCAAACCACCTATTCCCAGGAAAGCTACCCAGGTCATATGTATCCATATAGTTTACCAAGGTCGAATGGCATTTTCTGCCCTTTGTTTAATGAAGGCTCCTTACTTCATGAACTTCAATTGGTTAAGCCGGTATTTTCACCGGGCCCTGACGGAGTTCCCGGCTGTGTACTCTATTCACTCTATCCATCCATTCTTCTAGCTTTCCCCCCATCTGGAAGGAATCCTTTATAATTCCTCTCCATAAGAAAGGTAGAAAGTCTGACGTTAAAAACTATAGAGGTATATCTAAGTTATCCGCTATTCCTAAAATGTTCGAGAAACTTTTAACTCCGTACTTGCAGCATCTCTTCAAATCACTTCTTTCTCCAGCTCAGAACGGATTTATACGGTGGCGATCAACAACCAATAATCTTCTAGAGTTCACCTCCTTTGTCATTAAAGGATTCCAAGGTAACTTGCAGCCGGATATTATTTACACTGACTTCAGTAGGGCATTCGATTCTGTAAACCATTCTCTTCTTGCACAAAAGCTCGACCCTCTAGGGTTTCCGCCCAATCTGTTGAGATGGATTTCTAGCTACCTGTGTTCTAGGTCTCAAAGGGTCCTCCTTTCAAAGGTACCCTCACAGGGTAGCCATTTAGGCCCCTTACTTTTCACACTCTTTATTAATGACCTGCCTTCTGTATTTACAAATGATCGAGTACTTATGTATGCGGAAGATGTTAAACTCTGTGTACAGTATAAGGGCACTTCATTTCACTCTCGCTTGCAATCTGATCTCAATAGCTTTCAGTCAAGGTGCTGTGCAAATATGTTACAACTTAATGCCTCGAAGTGCAATGTTATGACTTTTTGTCGCTCCAGCCCCTTCCTGGCTCCTTACACCCTCTGCGGTAGTTCTCTTGAGAGAATTACATTGGTTGATGATCTAGGCGTTAAACAAGACTCCAAGTTAAAGTTTTCTGAACACATTTCCACCTTGCTTGGGTTTATAAAGAGGTGGTCAAAGGAATTTGATGACCCCTATATAACGAAGACTCTCTATATCTCGCTTGTTCGTCCGATTTTGGAATACGGCTCATGTGCATGGTGCCCTCAGTACTACATACATCAGGACCGTATTGAATCAGTACAGAAAAACTTTTTATTATTTGCCCTACGGGGCCTCAAGTGGGATACAACTGTGAGACTGCCATCCTACCGTAGTAGACTTCTTTTAATAAATCTTCCATCCTTAGTTAGTCGTAGAAAAATGCTTGGTGTAATTTGTATGCACAACTTGATGTGGGGGCTGTAGACAGCCCTGACTTGCTGAGCCGCATAAACTTTACGATTCCCATTAGACCCACTAGAAACTTTATTCCTTTGTTCCTTCCACTATGTAGATCGAACCCTTCTTAAATCTCTTATACTAGCCTACCTCTCCCGTAGTTAGTTTCATTTTAGTTTTGTCTTGTTTCTGATTTTGGTAATTTTTGCTTGCTTAGCTATAGTAGCTCTAGTCTAGTTGTGTTTAGCTCTAATTGTCCTCGAATATTAGCCTAACATCTATCTTTCCTGCATGCTCGCGACCAGTTCGGTTAATCGCGCCGCGCGTCATGTGGCAGCTCCCCTCGGTCGGTTGGGCGGGAGGAGGGCTGCGTTCTGCTGGGTTCCGCGCGTAACAGGCTTTGGGCTTGGTGTCGCATGGGCCACTTGATGGTGCAGTCATTGCATATCAACGTCCAGACAAAATGCGCATAGGCAGTAAAGAAAGTGTTGCATACTTCCGGGCTTCCCGATTGCACGTGCCCCTGCCAGAGCTCTATGGTCCCAATGACCACTTTTTTTGGGCAAAAGGTAATTTTTAAAAGTTAAAACCAAGACGTGGTTTTTGGCGCTCTGTATTAGAAAAAGAGTGACCATCAAAGTTGCGTTCCAGAAATTTGCATAGATGGCGCCACCTTCGCAAAATCAGCTGTGAAACCCAGCGGTCATTATTGCGCAGAATGTGTAGTGAAAAAATGTAAATTTTATTGCTGTTTTAAATATCTCATAAATTGAAAAATACGATTAACTGATCTAGTTTTTTGGTTGCATTTTATTCAGTAGGGTTTTTACTACGTGTTTTGTAATGTGAACGGTTTCTAGTAGTTGGCGATGTCTTCGTAATTGTATGCTAAGTTGAGGCCTTCAATATGTATCAGTTCGTAGTAAAAACTAAGTTTTTAAAAAGGTTTTTTTAATAGAGTGCCACCTAGTCCCACCTTGAAACCTATTGTGTGTCGTAGAGCAATAAATGATTGTTAAAATGTATATAGTCAGAAATCCCACATTTGACCACAACTCTTACAATTTGCGTTTATAGATCATAACCTCAAATGAGAAATTTCAATGTTTTTTTTGCCGTTTGGAACACAATGAAGAAGAAAATTGTGAAGTAGGGTGCCATATTGCATTGCATTTAAGCCACAGTATTAGTCACTAGCTATTTTGGAGGGCTAGAGTTTGATATCCATTGTAATATTGTTTTATAATGAAAACTCCTATGGAGAATGCTTCGTGGGACAAAAAATTCGACTATATTGTATTTTAAAGCTGTTTTAATTCGCGCTACGACTTTTTTTATAGAATCTTGCCCTGCTTAACATATTCCCATCCTTATTTTGTTTCTAACATTTTGAGAACAAAAAATAAAAACCGATCTTTCCTTAAAAAAAGGCGGTTTCTCAAAAAACCGGCCCCTTGCTATTCTTAACTAATATCAAGACACTAAATCCAAAAATCTTCATTCTTTCGCGAGTTATTAATTAAGGACACGAAAAGTGGTCATTGGGACCATAGCGTAGCTACGCTTTCAGCTGGGATTTATTAAAGCCAGCGAGACACACATGTGACAGTTTGAAGGCTAAACACGGAGGTCTTAACAACTCTTAGACTTATTTCTTATTTAAAAATAACTATGTGTCATTAAGAAGGGTAAATAGAAATAATCAAAAAGTGTTTATGTTTGCCTTCAATATTTAAAACGCTACTCTTGTGTACACAATACAAAGCAAATACTAAATACTCGTATTTAGGTTTTCTGTACCTCAGGGTCAACTTCTCAAAGATGTTTCTTCGGCGGCTTAGGTTTGAGCACACTCTGGATTCGATTGGGAACTCTGTATGGTAATTCGGCAATCGTATGTTGCACATCGAAATGTTCACACTCCATAATATTTGCATTTTAATGGGCATGTATAATTAACCCCAATAATTAATGCCAGAAAACAGGAAACCTAATGAAATGCCAAAATATAAACAGCCAAATTGGCCTCGTCTCCCTCTCTGTCGCATAGCCACGCTCCCCGGTCCACGCTCCACTCTATCTCTCTATCGCTATTTCCATCTCTCTGTCAGTCTTAATGAGAATCAATGGCTCCAGAGAATTTGCGATGTGTGTTTGAGTTAATGCCTGAGTTGAGGCTTTTAGTTCCTAGTTGGAGTTTGAAGTGGAAGGTACCAGGTCGGGCACTAATAAGCCTTTAAATATGTATCCAAATTTGCTCGTTCTGCCCCACTTGGCCCTGGGCTGTCTTTGGTTCTGCCTGGCCGGGGGGCAAATGTTTGAACAGCAGTTGACAAAGTAGGTCGTCGTCAAGTCTCTCTCTCGGTGTCTCTCTCTCTCTGTTGCGAGTCAATCTATTGAGCAAAGTATGCATTTACTTGCAGTTTGATTTACTCTAACCGCGTGGGAAGTTCCACGGATGGGAGCCCTCAGGGTGTGACCATTCAGCGCCTACCCTCTCAGATGATAGCGCCGGGCAGGCTGCATCAGCATCTCCAGGAAATCACGGGCAGCGAAGCGTTGGCGCCATTGTTGCTGGAATTACTGGGCCAAAGTGGGCCAAATTGGCAGGGCCAACAGCCAAGCATGGCAGCCACCAATCAACCGCAGCAAAAGGAACAGCAACCACAGCAACAGCGACCGCAGCAACTGCAACAACAACCACAGAAACAGCAGCAGCCACAGCAACACTTTTTTGTTTATGAAAACTCTCAGTCCGCGGGGCAAACGAGTCAACAACCTCAAATATTGCCAGGGTTCAATGGCGTCAATGTGCATCCTGCATCGCAACAACAGGGCCAACAGCCATTCAGAGCGCCAAAGCCAATTCAGGCGCAACAACAGCAACAACTATATCCAGAAACCGAGCCAAAAATCGTTAAGGCGCCGCTTGTGGCTGCCGTACAGGCGCCTACGTCCGCCTACATTGCCACATCCTTTCACAGCCTCCCGCCCGGACCGTCATCACACGATTCCAGCCTGCCAAACTCGAGGCCTGCTGGCACTCAGCCGTTGTAAGTAAACACTGAACACGGAACACTGAAAACTACCAACTATAATCCATTATTTGCATTAAACAATGCATTTTAATTAGCTCATCCCCATTCCCGGCAATAGCAGCGCCAGCAAGTTGCAGCCATCCATCGGCAGTAGTCCCCGCCCCCGACTCCGCACCCAGTGGCATGAGCATGCCCTGCCCCAGCTATGTGACGACCCCGCTGTTGAGTGCCGCTGTGCTCAAGGCGACAGCTGGTTAAGTTTTTAATTAAATCGCTGGCATAATTAATAAAGATGCGCATAGACAGTAAAGAAAGTGTTGCACACTTCCGGGCTGCCCGATTGCACGTGCCCCTGCCAGAGTGCTGTGCCTGTATGAGTGCATATGAGCGTAAGAATGTACATATATGAGCATGCATGTGTGCCCATGCAATTTTCATCAAAATGACAACTGCATCTGTGGCAGGCTAAGAGGAACACCAGTGGTGTCGCCATGTGGGGAGGGTACGCTGTTGATAATAATTTTCGCTCGTTGAACGTTGAGAGAACTTCCTTAGAAGAGGGCAAAAAGTATTTCAAAAACTTATTTCAGTGGCAAGCAATTTTAGAACGTAAAAACTCTTAATATATTTGGGAAAAAAATATTCGCAGCAATTGAGTTGTTCTTTTTTGTGACTGAGCCTGTTTCTACAAACAAAAACTTCGTGAACAATATGTGAGTCTTATCTGGCGTCGTGTCTCTGGTGTACAGTGAACCTACTCCACCCAGATTCTAATCGCATTGCAGCCCCGCCTGTCCAAGCTGTCACACAGAGCGTCAGCATAAAAGTAAAACATGCAACTAAAAACAATTTCTAAAAATATATATAAAACATAAAGCACAAAAACCGCCACAGAACACTTCATGCTGAGTGCAACTCGGAAATTGTACTGCCCGTGCGATGGCGAGTGAGTTGCCACCACAGAAACAACAACAGCAGCAGCAAAAACAAGAAAAATAATAAATAAAAATCCACAAAATGTATGTGGCAATGCGTTGAGTCTGCGGCTGAGTGCCGCGGCAAGTGTTCGAGCAGGAAAATGAAAGTGCTGAAGTGTTGCCCATTGTTTTGTGTCAACGCCGAGGCAGGCGGGCGGCAGGCATTGGCCCGACGAGGGCCACCACGCGATGATTGCCACAAGTTGACGACACGGATAGTCAGCAGTCGATGGTGTAGGTGCGAGTTAGAGTATGGTAGTGCAGTGGCAAGGGGTATCTCGGGGGTTTAGCAGGTGGTTTTTATGTAAGGTTTAGGAAAAGTTAAAATAAAATTATTGATTTCACACAGCAGCCACAAATTTTACTTCAATTTAGTAAAACAATACTCTCAAATGGCTTGTAAGGCTTTTTCGAAATTACAATTGCAGTTAAACTGAAAGGCGTTCCAGCATTTGGATTCCGATTCGCTTTGGTAAGTACCTCTGGCATCTCCAAGTCCTTGTCCTGGTTCGCATTTCCTTGTTGACGTGGCCCTCTTAAGCGACTCTGTTCCAGTCTTGGTTCCGGTCCTTGTTCTTGTTGACATTGCCACTTTAGAATACATTTTATGGGTCTCTCATTTCATGCACGCCTAATCAGGGAGCGTCGCTAATTAAATTCTAAACATTTGCCAGCATCTTAGTGCTGGAAACACTAAAAAATGTTTTATATGGCAACAAATCCAACCCCATTCCGTATCCCCTTTTGAACCACCAGCTGAACCCCATTTTGTCTCCAATATCTAGGGTGAGACTCATACCCATCCGAGGGTGCTGTAATTGCAGATCCTGGACTCCATACACGCCCCTATGCAAATGGGACAAAGCTGCTACGGCTTCTGCTGCTTCTCCTGCTGCTACTGGTCCTTCTTCTGGGTCTTCTCTTTGTAGCCATCGCAAGCTCATCTCATCTCGCGCTGACGGCTTTTGAACTGCCTTCGTTTGTTGTTGTCCCTGTCGTAGTCTAAATTAACCGTTTCGTTACGTCAGCTCCGACTGCTGTCTTTGTGCGTTGACAGTGGCTGATTCTGCTGCTGCTGTTCCTGTTGCCGCTGCTGTTGTTGGCCCAATTGTTGTTGCCGCTGCTCTTGTTTAGTTGCAAGTTTGTATGAGGCAGTCGTGCGTGCCCGGGCGCCTGGCAATTGGAGCAATCAGCTAGCTCCTGCACTCCAGTCCATTCCATTCCATTCTCTATTCTCCTTTCCTGCCATCGCATCGCATCGCATCGCATCCCATCGCAGCTTCAGACAGCCAATCCCCCAGCACTCAGCCGCACTTCATTCGGCTGAGTTCAGTTCAGCTCAGGCTCGAGTCGACAGTTGGCTTTGTCTTGTCAGCTGGTCCCGGGCACCACCCTGATTGGCATTTACAATTAGCGAGCGGGTAAACATAGTCGGAGAGCGCATCGCCTGGTGTATCGACTCCAATGTTCATCTAACAAGATTGCAAGTTCAGAATTTCGGGCCACGTTGGAAGCTTCATTTGGAAATATACACTTGGGTCGTAGTTCCTTGGAAAGTTATACATTGGGAGTGTGATTTTTATATATTCTACGATTTTTATCAGCACTTTTAGTATGATTTGTTTTTATCCAAAGAAATGAAGACAGCAATTTTCTGCAGTCCTCCGATTGGGGGTCATTCTGTTGCCAACGAAAGTTGGAGCATTTTTTGGCCAATTACCATAATACCCATGAGCCATTCGCCTGAAAGTATGCAGAGCATGTGCCCACGGATGCACAAACATGCACGTGCACATTTTGTCAGCGTGTGTGCGTGTGTGTATTTATGGCACTGGAATAATGTACTCTTAATTTGTTATGCGTGTGATTAATGATCCGTGCACAGCGATAACTTTGACTCATTACACCTGCTGATTTATTGCTGTCAACGGGCGGTCCGAGACTCACACACTCAATCACATTTACTTTCCTGCCCCCACCCACCACCCCCACACACACCACAAACTCACACACACATTCATGCATATTCCATGGAAATGAATTTTGAATTTGGCCACTTTCGCTTAATCATTTCGCAATTAGCTGGCATTGTCAGGGAGGTTTTGCATTGATTTATTTCGACTGGTTTGCTGTCGCCAAGATTTTAACATAGTGTTCGCTTTTGCCCATTTTCCCATTTTTTCCATTTCCACAACTGACATCAAGGTATTCCAAGCTTTTTCTGGACGTTATTTCAATTAATTATGCTTTATTGCTGCTGTGTGGTGTTGCTGTTGCTTTTACGGTCTCTTCAATATCCACTGTTTCTGTTTGCTGTTTTCCATTTTCTTTTTTGCTTGATTGTACGTTCGTCGTTGCGTTTGTGTTTTTGTTCGGTCTTTGGCAAGTGTGAAGATTAAGAGGCATCGATGGAAATGCAAGTAATTAAAGGCTGGCAGAGTGGGCGCGGCCACTGTAGTTGCCCCAACACTTGTCCCGCCTGTGCTAATGACCCATATTATGAGGTTATTACTGTACGAGGAGTACTCACATCATCTGACTGCCTCCGACTGTTTGTGAGTGAGTGAGAGTGCGATTGCAACTGCATTTCTGATGACATTTCGTATATGTTAAGTAATTGTAAAAGGCTTCGATGAGTCGGCAACTGCAGCGACAAAGGCATACATATGTGTTATGGAATATTCGAGTGAGGCTGCAGTTAATTGAAGTCTATTTGGATTGATGGATGGATGGTCTAGTGGGCTGGCACAAGCAATGCGAACGCCTTGTCTATGAAAGTGCATCTTAATTAGGGTTTTGCAGTAGATCAGTCGCAAGATGGTTGCTTCCCAACATCTGAAATAGGATTGATGGCATACCCATCATACCTTTTGGGTAAGTTTAGTAGATTGGCTGGGTTTGTGTTATGTTAGGTAAGAGGTTAACACTAGTTGTGGCTGCTTACCTCGAGTTAAACTTGTTAAGGTGATGAAAAAGGTAGCTTGGGTTCATGTTTTATTGCCTCTAGTGATCTGTGATCTTCCCTCTAATTCGGTTTATCTTATTCTCTCCTTAAATTCATTCCGCAGATGGATCCAAAACCATACCATTTGCTGGTGTTTCTGCTGCTCTATATACTGATGCTGACATCCTTCATGCGGCCACAGATGAACATAAGTATAAGCGTTGACTCGTACTTCTTCAGTGCCAAGGTCGTTGTCCTTTTGGGTGTGACATTTAGGTTCGATTTATTCATGGTGGTGGCAGCTTTGCCCATCACCGTCCTGACGGTTATCGCACTCGCGAAGTGGAACGAGGCAACACTTCATCCCACGGCCTCTCGCTCCTTCGTGTCGTTCGTGGTGGTTCTATATGTCGCATTGCTGATCGCCAACTTTGCTGGGAATGGACTGGTCATGCAGAACACCCTCGCTAGATTCCAGCAGCCCCCACTGGCAGCTTGGCGCATGTACGGAGATCTCCTCATCGCCTTTGGGGAATTTCTGTTGACAAGCATCCAGAGCATCGCCACCAGGCAAACAATACAAATACCTGAGCTAGTCTACGTTCTGCATTAGTTAGTTCTTCATTCATATTTAATGAATTCATATTTTTAAATTGAAGAAACATCTAAACATTCTAGGTTATTAAGTGTTAAGCTAAAATAAACAATATGTGCTTCATGGAATCAACTATGACTGAGTTTGCATATCACAGCTGGATTGAAATAACAGAACTACACGTACGCGTCTCATGAACTTGAAGCTCGTGTCTGGGCGAGACAGAGTCATGAGGTTTCCTGTTCACACAATGACCAGTGCTTGCCACTAACCAGCGAAGGGAGGGGGCTGTGTGTGGAGCGGAGTTTGTTGCGGTCGAGATGCATATTAGATTTAATGCGATTTGCATTTGCTTGGCATGAGGCCGGCTCCTACATCGATAATGAGGCGACACTTCCCTAGTTTTGGCCCGTTTGCACTGCGTTGATTTGCCCCTGGTTGGGGTTGCACCCACTCATAGAGGCATGCAACATTTGTCTAGGCAACCGCAGGGCAACGTGGCCGGGGGCCTGCACGTCTGGCGGGTAAGTAATTTTGCGGTTGTATTTTGGGGCACGTTGCTTTGAGGCTTTCGACTCGATCATCCTCTTCGTTGCCGCTGCGGCCTGCCTGCCTGGCTGGGCTTTGGCAAATAGTTGAGCTCAAACAGTCCAGTGGGGGGGCAAACCCGAAACTGGCCCACGAAATAATTGAAATTTTATGCCAGGCTTAAGCAAAAGTATAAATTGTTGAAGCTCAGTCTCTCTCTCGCCGTCGCTCACGCTCACGCTCTCCCTCTCCCTCTTTCCCCTTACATGTATCTCTTTTGGATTGTATTCCGACGTAAATTCCCAGCAAATACAAAACATTTATTTTCTCTGCCTGCTCCAAAACATGTCTTTGATCTCGAAAAACATGTGAAAAAAATCCCCAAAACAACCAAAAATTAAAAACGGGCCAATTTACACACAAAAGGGAAAACACGAAAAAGTATACACGAAATATATAAAAATAAAGCAGCAGAAAAATGTGTACAAAAAATAAAGCAATAAAAGTTGTAAATATCCATATGCAAAATACAAATCCCAAACAAATTAAACGAAACGAAATGTTCGAATAAGTGCTTCAAACAATGCTTAATGAGTTCTGACTTTGGGAAACTTTTCCCAAATGCCAAAAAAATATGCGAGAAATTCCAAAAGTATCTGGAGAACGGTATGCGGTGGGCAGGGAGCGATGACAGTGGGTTTTCCCGGGACACTAATATTATTTATGGCTTCATATTTACTGAGGGGGTGGCAGCCTGCTCTTTCGTACCTCCCATCGACATTTCATTAAACTCGTAATTTATATCTGAACAGCGGGAAATAAAACTTCAGATTTTAAGCTGTAAATAAGGTCTGGATAAACCCCAGCGACAGTGCAAGGTAAGCCTTAAATATTAACTCAAATTTGTCTCTTCTGGCATTCATCTTTCTCGTAGAGAGACTTGATTTATGGGTCCAATAATCATGATCAAATTCTTGACCAGTCAAACAATTTCAAATGAGCAAAAGATTCGGCCATTTGGCTGCACAAAAATAAGTTTAGATAGAAGTATGCGAGAACATTTGATACATTGTGGAATTTGTGTTTGATTTATGAGAGGTTTTAGCATTTAAAATGTTCCGAAATACCAAGTGGGTAGTGACTTTAAATGGGAAAAACCTTATTAGCAGCAGAAGTCGAAATTCAAAGAAATGTCTGCACTGAAAATTAACACATAAATATCAGAAGCTTTGAAACTGAACCACTTGCACTTGGATGGGTTTCATTTGAGAGAGTTCTCCAGCTACTGGACTGACTTAGATTTCCCCCAGTCGTAACTTGAGTGATCGTTAAAAGGCCCCAATTAAAAGTCCCAACTTTAATGTGTGTTCCAATTTGGGTTTCGGGCTTATCCCCAGCTACCAGTTTGGATCTCAATCTGACTGGGGACGATCTAATATCATCTCCGAGTGTGATCAGCTGAGGTAAGGCTTGTAATTTCCCTGAAGGGGGAAGGAAGGCAAGTTATTGAACCTGCACAGGAATATCAGTTTGACAATCGAATGACAGAAATTGAAATGTCAGATCATTGGAAGCCAATAAAGCGGGATGATTGATGTGCAAATTTGTAATATGCCGATTAACATGTCCATACCCAAATCGGCTGCTTAATTACACACGACGCAGGCCCAAAACGGACAACCAGAGTTCACTGGTACAATGGCAGGGCAATTAATATTTTTATTAGCGTTTAATGTGGATTAATTGCCCCACACACTCCAGCGGATGCCCATGAATCAGCCCCAATCAAATGTGTGTCAAAACAAGGGCTCCCGTCCCATAGTGCAGTCCAGTCGATGAAATGGAATCCAGAAGCGAAAACGTCTGTCTGTTTTGGAATTTGCATTTCTTTTGTTGACGCAATCACTGGACTTGTACACCCGCGTTACGTCTCCTACAGCTGAAGCTTCTCCACCCCATTCTCGCTGGAGATGTGCCTGACCTGTGCTGCTGCTGCTGCTGCTCTTGTCTCCAGCCAGGGAGAAATGTGCCTGACCTGCACTGACGTCGCAGCGTGTGTCACTCACTCCAAGTGACAGAATCTCCCAGTCGGGGGCAGCGGATTCGCTTGACGCTCTTCTGGAAATCAAAAGTTCGAAACCGGATTCTGGGGATATGGGTGTCGCACGTATCACAATCCAAACAAAACAAATCAAACGAAATGAAATTTTTTCGGCTTTCGGCTTTCGCCTGAAATTTGCTTTAAATAAAAAATCTCCGAGCTCAGAACATTAGACAGGTTTAAGAGCTCGAATTAAGCACAGCCCAGCAGGAACATTGACTGGACATAAAACAAGCAGCACAACAAACAGAAGTGCAAAGCCATTTTAATAACAAATATTAAGAGATTGCTAAAATTATATAATTTCTACAACCACTCAAGTAACAATTAGCCAACAATGAACATCACAAATCCAACGCAAATGGTAAGCATACACAGACATGTCCATTTCCATCTCCAGACAGAATCTGACGTATCTATTCCCTCAGATAATGCTTGGCAGCTGCTGCCTGGCCCTGCTTCTGACCCTCACCGAAGCCCTGCCCCGTTACAGTCGACGCGGAGATCTCCGACCCGCGGCGAGTATCTCCAGCTTCGCCTATGCCCCCAGACCACAGGAGCCCATGACACTGACAGGAAACTATAACCTCATCATGCCCGACTACTATGATCAAAATCCGGCAGCCTCGATGCAGCTGCAGAACTTTGCCAACTTCTACGAGGCCCAGGTAAGCCCCGGCGCCGACTTGGGCATGGATGAGTCCCAGTTTTTGGCCAGCACACCCGTCAGGCCACCTCAGCCTCTTTCGGCGGATGAGATTCGCATCCGCCAGCATGTGCCATCGGTGGACATTGGACGCGAGAAAAAGAGTCTGCTCAAGCTGAAGAAGGGCAGCACCCAGCCCCGTGGAGGCGACTACCAGGAGTGGGATCAGTTCGACTACGATCTCTACAGCCTCAATCCCGGCGAGAACAAGAAGTACAAAAACGATGCCTAGGTTGAAGGCTCTGCATCGGAATTGGAATTGGAATCTGAATCAGAATCGTAATCGAGGGCCACTTTTATGGCTCGAGTGTTTATGAGTTTGTTGTTGTGTTATTTTGTTTTTCTGTTTGTTAAGCGCCAAAATAAATTATTTATTTATTGTAAACTGCATTTGGTTTTTTGCCAATTTTGGCTGCGTCTCGAAAGAGGAATGCGGTCAGAGCAAGTTTTGTTATCTCCTTAAAGCGGGTAGTACGAAGAGGTTGCAACACTTGGAACACAGAAGATCTCAATCACATTAAAGTAGATCCAATAGAACTACATAACTGCTGCGATATTTATAGAGTATTTAACGCTTCGGTGGTGCACAAGTCATTGGTTTTTGGGATTTCGAAAGCATCTAATTGCCCCTGCCATTAGCAATCCGCTTAATGACCAAATCCGACCCGAGGAACTACAAATCAAACACGAGGAATTTCCTGGAGCATTTCATTTTATTGCTGGTCCAGCAGAATGCGCTTCAGCTCCTCGACTCGTTCCGGCGAGGGCTCAAAGAACTCACTGTCCACCTGGACTTCCTTGTGCCTCGACAGGCGACGCAGCGGGGGACGCGCCGCATGGTATCTGGCCAGAGCAGCAGCCTCTGCCTTCGGGTTCCCGTCTTTGTTGTTGCATTTGCGGCGTGAGGACAGCTGTCGCCGCTGGGCAGGCTTCACCACCACTCCACCCGCACGTTCCTTGAGACGTTGCTCCCTGGGATGCGGCTCCTCTGTCAGCTGCTGGAGCTCCTCACCAGGTCTCTCGTCCGGATAGCCAGATTGTGGGTTGATGGCAGCGTGGGCCAACATCACACCTAGCACCACCATCTATGGGACACGAGAATGGTTTAGCATTTGACGTCATTGCCATTGAGGGAAACGAGTTCTGTGTTCGGTATTCCGTATTACCAGTAGAGTTGATAGCAAACTCGTCTTCATCGCTGGATAGTGTTTGTCTCGCTTCGGGGTCCACGGACTGACTAACTTAAGATTCTGTTCTCTGCTGACTAATGATGGCTTGAACCCTTAGAACCGATTATGAAATCTTGGATATTACTCGTATTATGCCACAGTCCAGAGAGAAACACTGAGAGAAACCTGTTTGTCTGTGTTTCTCGTCTTGCTTTACCGATTTGATTAGCATACTTGGACTGAAAAATGCTTAATAAACAGAGAAATCAATGTCAAAAACATTGCAAATTTATTCATGCTCCATTATAATTATCAAAATATATGTTGGGCTTTTCTCAGTGCTGCTAACTTTATTCAGGGTGAGTGTATGGAATATCGTGATGCTCAGAACTTAGGACAGAGTTCCGTAAACCCAAAGAGTTCCCCGCTTGATGCCACTGGTAAACCAAGTGCTGTAGAAGGCATAGTCGCCCCTGGGAAGAGGTATAACGTCCGTAAAGTGTGAGTTCACAAACTGTGTGGGAACCTT